AGACTCAATGGACCCTACTAATACTACACTAATTCCGACTGAGTTCCCCCTCCTTCAGGTCACAAGCTGTACATATTTCTTCAGCGTTTTGAGGTTGATCCTCCCCTTCATCACGCGGAGCTGCTCTCCACCCTTCAGAGCACCGTGACGGTGACGTTGCGAAAGCGCATGATGCGTGGCTTGCTTTCCACCCTGTCTTGCAGACAAACCCACTTCTCCTGACTGTCACTGGTGTAAATAAGAACCAGGGCTGGGTCCTTGCGAATAATCTTGCTCGGATCTGAGGTAGTAGTCGCAGCAGCTGCGGAGCACAAGCGTGAGAATCTGGGAAGCGGTGAAAAGGCAAAACGGTGAAACGTCAAAGATAAAAATGGCATCAATAAAAACGACACAACTACGATTCAACTCATGGACCCTCCCAACGGTAAGGTTCTACTTAGTGATGTTGTTCAGCCGTTCGACGACGAAATCATTGTGGTTATGGATTGAGTGAAGACCTCCACACATGCCGCACTTCAGAGCCGGGATGTAAATTAAAATCGTCTTGTCGTTCTTAAGGAAGCTCTCAATGTAATGCTTCAAGCGTTCAATGGACCCTTCACACGGTCCGTATCAAGACCTGTAACTGGGTTAACGGCACGGCGGAAGCATAACCCCTCCTTGGAAACTGACTTCTTTTTCTTCTTAAGTGGTGCCATCAACATCCCTTGCAGCATCGCATGCGATATTTCAGCAAGAACCGGTTTGAAGAAAAGTTCAATGACTGCATGGTTAGTCACCTGCCTGGCGTAAGCGGCATCTTCTGGAGCCTGCCAGTTAAAGGTGACGTAGACCCCATCCATGCATTCATTCTCGACCTGGTTACGCCACACAAAGTTAGCATTTGAAGCCTTATAAAAAATGACTTGCATGCCACCATAAAGCTTATTTGACAGGAACGCCAACAAAAACTCTTGGTATGACATGGTAACCATTGCCTCAACGGACAACTCTGTCTTCCACATTGCGAGCATGGACTTGATGGTCACCTGCGTGCGCGATAGTTCGTGCAGGAAGTCCTCATGTACCAGAAGTGTAATCGAGAAATGGGAGTGTGATAGAATCGCCCCCTTCGGCAGCTCCTCCACCTCTTCATCAGAATCGTAAGCGATTAAGCGATCATCCTCATCATTGAACAGCCGCGCAGCATTTGATGTCCCTGCACTGTCATCCGGTATGTCTTCGTCTTCTTCAGCACCAGCATTCTCCTTATCCAGGACCGCGTGTGAAGTCACATCCTCAGAGATTGCCTTGTCTTTCCCGTTTTGCCGTCCCGAGCAGCCTCCTCAATGCGGATAGCCGCCTGCTTCGCCGACAATGTCAGCGAGTCAGAGTCCTCAAGCTGGAAGGGGCCCTTAGCTGCCTTCATGACCGTAACCGACTTGAGCAGAAGCCTCGGACAGCAGCAGCAGTAGCGCTTGGCACTGCAGCAACTGCAGTAGTAGCCTGAGCCGGAGCAGCCTTGCCGTTCTTAACTTGCGGATGCATCGTGCGATGATGAAAATGATACCTCCAGAGCCAGTAAGATACCGTACTGGAGACGTGAAGAAACTGAGCACATATAGGATGCAAGTTGTAGAGTACAAGAGCTGCTCTTGTAGACCTTGATGTTGCATTGTCCCTTGATAATAGAAACACAACCTTGGGGGCACCTCGTAAGATATTCCCTGAACCATGGATATGGTGCGTCCTTAGGGTGGAGGGATTAGTGCTCGCTGTTTGAACATTTAAAGAATATCCTCGTGTACCATGTGCAAAGACAAACTCAATGGTTATAATCATATAGGGAATGCCATACAATAGGTGGTACATTGACGAGTTCCAGGGCTGCGGCAAGACCCATGGCTGCTGTGAGGTGGAGAGCAGAGTCATTTTCGAACTTGCAGAGCTGTATAAATGGTGGTTATGAATGTGATGTGAATGAGGGTGTGTAGACTATTCTAGCTTACTAGGAATATTCCTATAGAGTTTTGCATTTACTTGCTGGTCTACGAGAGTCAGACGGATTGTTCAGGTCTATCAGGCACTCGTCACCCGTCCATACGGTCTTCGTCAGTCGTTGTTCGTATTGCTGTACTGTAATTCATGGCCTACGTGTACAATGCCAGCGGGGCGAAGTGACCGGGTCGCGAAGTGACCGGGTCGCTCGAGAATCCGGCAATCCCCTCCTAACCATGCCTCCGTGGCAACCTAGCCTCCTCACTGTATCCGCAGCCCAAGCTTGGAAACCAATCAGGCTTGGCGTTCCTCGCTAGGTCAGGGAGGGAGACAACCACCAGCATACAGTACAATTCAGTACAGTACAAGAAGAACCTTCACGAGATTTCAGGTTCGTCCAGCCCCTGGATTTCAGACGAGAGAACTTCAGGCTGTACTGTGCGTATGACAAGAATGGCAGAGATTAGCAGACAGAAATCTGAGAAAGCTGGCGTCTTTTTGCCAAGAAATACTGGAGAGAGTGACATATTGTTGACCTTATCAACGTTTTTGTTTCAGCAATTTCTGCTTCCTGCTCCTCCCTTCTTACTTTCGCTTCTACTTCAGCCTTGTCTCACACTCTTACCTTTCCGCTGTTTCACCTGCATGGCTTTTCTTCACTAGGGTTGTGGAATGAGAATAGGATGCAAGCTTGATCCCACTGGGTATGGAACGACGCTGTCACCAGGGTACATGATACGGAAGCGTTATGACCTCGATATTCGACCTGGAAATCTGCATCTGCTTTTCGTAACGACGGATTACCTTCGAACGGTCAATTTTCCATTGGGCAGAAGCGCATATTCTTCCGATTTTACAACGACAACCATTGCCAGCACTGGTACTAGCATTAGTGCCCCACCCTACAATCATGGGGGATACGGCGATTTTTTGCACCGAAAGTGAGTTTTATCCACTGTCGCAAACATTCGAAAAGCATATGTTCGGCTGGGTGTAAGATTCTATAGAATTTTACAAAAACCAGCCCGGCTGGCCGTCTGAGCATCAAGTGTTGTGACGATGCTTAACACTGTGGAGGACATGAAATTGACAGCACATATATTCCACGCACGGCCATCCCACACACGGCCATCCCACCATCGCGAAAAAGTTTGTGCACACAAAAGTGTGCACGGTAGCTTTTCTTGCGGAAAAGCTGCGGAAAAAAACTTGGAGCTGCGGAAAAGCGCTGAGAGTCAATGTTGCTAGAATGTCACTTCCATGCCGCAACTGGAAAGCTACGACAATGTCACTTGCGCCCCTTGGTGCCTTCGTACATTCGCACCCAATTCGTCATCCAAGTGGTAAACAGCGGTACAGTACGGTTTCAAGATGGTTGTGGGCCTCGACCAGATTGTACAGACCACGAAATGTTACCAGTCCTTGCGAAGTTTCGGAAACCAAGAACTTCAACAACCAATCAAGAAGAAGCGACAGTGTTTCATGCAAACGAAATTAGCATACTTCGCATAGCGTCGCCAAACACCAACTGCCAAATTGTTCACATCAAACCCAACTCTCATTGAGTTCTAACCAATCGAGAGGGCGTTCAAATATGTTCCACCAATCACATCGCATTCCTAATCTCCACGTCAACTCCCCACAGCTTCTCGAATGTTCCCTCAACCATTTATTCTCCAACCATTTCTTCTATGCCTGTTCTTCTCTTCACCTGCTATTTTCCTTCACTCTTGAGACACTTGTTTATTCTCGCCCCTTTCTCCTTTCTCCAGATCTATCCCTCCTTGTTTTCACTTATGGAATGTTGCCCTACTATGTTCATGGTGTTTTGCTATGTGTTCGGGCTAGTATCATAAATTAATTGCTTACTATTCCCTTGTTTTGCGCCATTCGACTGCTGGTTGCAGTTACGATTCATGTGTTACCGTCTACTAGAGACACCTAGTCGTCTTGAACCGAGCAGCCGGTGACCGACGACACAATCACTCTCCTTTTTCGGTAGGTGGCTATGTTGTTGCTTCTTTTTTTGTTGTCTTCTCTTCTCTTTTCAGCGATGTCTTTTCGTACTGTTATTATGAATATGATGCTCCAACACCAAGATGTGCCTACCCTTCTGTGCACAGGGTTAAGTGCAAAGGTGAGTATGGAGTGCGTGTTGTCTTGATCGGTTTAAGTTGTCTTGTGTGCAGATATGTTATTTTCTGAAGTGGTGCGGCGCGCTTCTCACAGTGCGACCTATTTGTCCTATTCTCGTATTTTGTATACATGGCTGATTCTCTAACGGCATAAGGTCGCAGTCTACCGCGGCTACAAGGTAGGTAGCCGATCTTCTAAGATGTTGCCATGCGTAAGTTTTTGTTGTTAGGCAATCTTGCAGCACTCACTACACATGTGTACTATCATTCACTTAACTCCATCAGCAGGGTCTTCACATAACTTCGTACTCCATCAGCAGGTACTTCCACTGGAAGGAGGAAAACCACCATGCCATTGGTTAGACTTGGGTCGTGTTTCAGGAGTACAGATTTAAGTGGATTTAAAGGCAGATTTGCTAGCTTTTGGTGCTATATTTGTTCATTTGTTATTTTTTAGCAGAAAAGTAATGATTGTATTAGGTACAGTATGTAACCGCTTTATTATTCATGAAATTACTCGCTCTGTAAACAATTGGCGACGTCCATTACGGTATTCGAAATTTTGATTGTGTCGGCCAATAGGCTTCGCGTGGCGCACACGTAACGGGAGGTTTCGATTGGCTCACATCGCATATTTGTATCCACTAATTTGCCTTGACAGCTGGCAAAAAGCATATATACACGTGGCAGTCAGGCGTCCACGTGGCATTTGTGACTCTGAAGTGACATTGATGTCACTTCTCATGTCACTTTCCAGTTGGGTTCTGTGTGACATTGATGTCGCTTGTTTGTCACTTTTCCGCAACTTCGAAAGTCACCCCTGCACATGAGCTTTTGACCTGTACTTTTTTTCACCGAACGGAAAGTTGCGGAACTTCAACTTTGAAGTTACTTTCCCGCAACTTTTTGGACTTCAGACTTTCGCGATGACGCACGGCCATCCCACGCACGGCCATCCCACGCTCGTCCATCCCACGCACGTCCATCCCACGCACGTCCATCCCACGAACGTCCATCCCACGCACGGCCATCCCACGCACGGCCATCCCATGCACGGCCATCCACGCACGGCCATCCCATGCACGGCCATCCACGCACGGCCATCCCATGCACGGCCATCCCATGCACGGCCATCCCATGCACGGCCATCCCATGCACGGCCATCCCACGCACGTCATGCCATGCACCTGCGTGTGTGGTTACCACGAGTGCATCATCCTTCTGCTTGTCCCTCTCTCTCCCCCCTGCCGTTCTCACCCCTCTCCCTCCACCTGCTCTATCCCATTCACCCTCATCCTGCTTTCATCCCTCTCCTTCCTCTCATCCCTATCCTTCCCCTGCTCTCACCCCTTCACCTGTCTCCTTCATTCAACCTCTCCCGTCTCTGTCAGCTAATTGCACTCTCGACTGTATGCGTGGCTATGGTACTTGCCCAACGAGTGCGTGTGTGGCTAATTTCCTCTCTTCATCCCTCACTTCCCTTCTCCTGTGCCCCCCAGCCGATTGCATTCTCATGTGCAGCCATGGCACCTGCTCGTTGGGATATTACGGCTATGTGTGCACGTGCAATCCTGGTTATTACATGGTCAACGGCCAGTCTCCTTGTCTCTTGCCCACTAGTACGTTCTACATTCGTGCCACTGCTACATGCTACACCCGTTCTGCATACGTGCTTACAGCAGTCCGTTTTGCGGCCATGCCAGATCCATGCCCGAGCCATGCTACATCCATGCTTTGGCCTCCCTACATTCACCTACCATTTGCTACAGCCGTGGCACAGGAACCGATCAAAAGAGCACCCAGCAACTTCCCGTGCCCCTCCCAACCCCGCCGTGCCTGGCAGACAAAGGCTCAACGAACACCTCCTCTCCCTCCTCCTCCTCCTCCTCCTCCTCCTCCTCCTCCTCCTCCTCCTCCTCCTCCTCCTCCTCCTCCTCCTCCTCCTCCTCACCCTCCCCCTCCTCCTCAAGTATCTCTCCAGGGGCGATAGTTGGCATCGTGTTTGGTGTTCTTCTGCTGTTGTTAGCAGTTGCAGGGCTGGTCTTTTATCTCTACCTTAGGCGCAGGCAGAGACGCAACGAAGGGTTACCGGCATGGGAACCCGGCAAGGCGGCTCAGATGAATGCTTACGTGGCAGGAGGAGAAGGGAACTCGACCGGTGCTGGTAGTTTGGCGTCAGGGCAGGGAGGGTATGGGCAAGGGTACGCATGGAGTTATGGCGTGTATGGGGGTGGGAGTGTGGGCGGTGGGAGTGTGGCGAGCGGGAGTGTGGGGAGTGGGGGTGCGGGAAGTGGTTACATGGGAGGAGGTAACCTGGGTTATGCAGCAAGAGTGGGAGGAGGAGGAGGAGGCGCAGGAGGAGCGTATGGGGTCGCAGGAGCAGGGAGTTACAACACTGGAAGAATGATTCACCCCATGTACATGGGAAGTAAGTGGGTAAAATGCCTTTTGTACACGCGAAGTAAGTGGGCTATTTGTCTTATCTACACGAGGTGTATGTAGGTGATTTACCCCAAGGATATGGAAAGCAAGTGTCTGTTTCATCCCGTTGAGAGCGCCTTCTCCCCCTTCCCCTCTCCTCCTCCCCATCCTTCCCCACGTGTCCGCCCTTTCCCCCTCCACTGCAGGCGGATCCCTCAGGCAAGCTCCAAGCGGGCCGCACCAGCAGCAGCAGGACGCGGGGCGCATTGACTATGCGCCTCAAGTGTGTCAGAAGTTCTCCTATGCGGACATGGCGCATGCCACGAACAACTGGGCAGAGAGCAACCGCATCGGCAGCGGGGGCTTTGGAGACGTGTACCGGGGGGTGTGTCCGTACAATCTCAGTGTGGCGTGGGCCGTGAAGCGAGGCCGATTTATCACCAAGGACTTTCACAGAGAGGTGTGCTGGGGTTAGAGGGGAGTCCAAGGGGCGTCCAAAAGGCGCCAAAGGGGCGCCAAAGGGGCGTCCATATGCCAACACTATTCTTACCTGTCTTCTCGAATCACCACGTCCTCCACACTCTTTACCCACTCGCACAAATCCCCCTTCCCATCCTCCCTCCCTCCTCCAAGTAGCAGCCATGGCAACGAAACACCATCCCAACATGGCAGGGGCAAAGCATGGAGTAGAAAGTGGTGTACGAGCTCATGCCTCAGAGGCCAGGGGGTGCCGCTGCCGCCGCCTCTCATCATATCACCCACCCTCTTTCCCTCCCCCAGGTGGCAGCCATGGCAACAAAGCACCACCCCAACCTGGTGCGTCTACTAGGCTACTGCATCGACATGAACCCAGCAGCGCAGGGCAGGGGAGACATGAGCATGGAGCAGATAGTGGTCTACGAGTTCATGGCCCACGGCGACCTCGAGCACTGGGTGGGGGAGGCGGCGCCACAGCCGCTGCCCATAGCGCAGCGCTTGTCGGTGCTCATAGGCGTGGCCCATGGGATAGAGTATCTGCACAGCTTTGGCATCGTGCATCGGGATATCAAGCCCGCCAACATCCTGCTCGATGACAAGTTCGAGGTCAGCTCCTGTCACCTTCTCTCTGTCTGTCATTTCTCGGTTGTCATAAGCACCGCTCTCCGACATTCCCCTGCTGTTGGAAGCACCGCTCTCAGACATTTCTCTCTTACGAAAAGCACTTCTTCCAGCTCAGCACATTCACCCACGTCAGCGCTTCCGTCCAGGTGAACGTGGGTGCCATTGCACCTGTGCTCCATCCACCATTCCAAGATTGCCGACTCTCTGGGCTGCTAAGGGAGGGTGCGGGCTCCACCGTGGCCGCCGGGAATGATTTGAGATGCCTCAACAGAAATGCGCCACCTCATCTCTCGCTTGTCTCATCTCATCACCACGTAGCCCAGGCTAAGATTGCCTCACCATAACACCCCCCGCCTTGTCTCAACGCATCACCCCCCCCCATGTGTCACCATGACATCCATCGCACCAGGCCAAGATTGCTGACTTTGGGTTGCTGAGGGAGGGAGAGGGCACCACTGTGTGCGCCACCAGAGTGATGGGCACTCCGGACTATGTGGACCCTGCTTACTTCAAGTCCAGCAAGGCCACCCCCATGGCTGATGTATACAGGTACAGTGCGGTGCAAAGCTGTACAGAGCAATGCAGGGTGGTACAGTGTGGTGGAGAGCGGTGCCAGTGGGTATGGTTGTAAAAGGGAGTGCATGGGAGTGATGGGCAGACGGGGCTACGTAGACCCTGCTTATTTCAAGTCCAGCAAGGCCACCCTGTATCGCTCAGTGCGGTGCAGAGAGGTGCAATGTAATATCGAGCATTACCGAGCAAACCAGAGCGGTGCTGTGCAGTATACCGCAACACAGAGTGGTGCAATCAGGCAGTGGCATTGCAGACGCGTGCATTGAATGTTGTTCAACCCTTAGTTCATGCTTTCCCACACAAAGTTCCTCGTCCCTGTAACCAGTGATATTACTTTTATATCGGAGTCACTTTTGAGAAATTCTCGAGAGTACACCAGTTTGCCATGTATTCTCCGTAACCATACTCAAACCGCCACGCGCTGTTGTCTGTAACCACTCCCATTGTGCACCCAAGGTTATCCCTGCTCCGAAGCCCTCAGCTTTGGCGGTGGCGATGCTGGTCCTGCCAGCACGTCCGGACTTCACCCTCTCATTCATTTCCCCATTCACCCATCCACCCATCCAACCCAACCACCCACACTTCCAACGACCTTTCAGCTTCGGTGTGGTGATGCTGATGGTGCTATCGGCACGGCCAGCAGTCATCACAGACGGCACCGGCTCCCAGCTCAACATTCGCAAATGGGTAAGCCTGCCATGCCATGCCAACCCATACCATATGATGCCATGCCAGGCCATACCATATAGTACCATATCATGTAGTGTCTGATTGGTAAGCGCGGCCATGCTCCGACATGCATGCCATGCCATCCATATCCTCTGAAAGGGCAACATTTCAAAGGGTGCGCGCTACCACGCCATGCCAAGCCATCCCATATCATGCCATGCTAGGCCATACCATATAATACCATACCATACCATGCTCGCCAAGTCATATCAAGCCCAGCCATATCAGGCCAAGCCATGCTGTATGATCTCAGGGAAACGACAGTTAGCTGAGAATCCGGAAATGGTTTGCTTTCAGGCACGACATGACATGTCATGCTATGTCAAACCGTATCAGCCAAGTAATGCATGTCATGCAATGTCATGCCAAGCCATGCCATACCATATCCTGCCTGCATGCTTTTCCTTTGCCTGGGTCGAAAACTCGCCATTCCAGCAGGCAATGCAATGACTTGTCCGTTTACCTTCACTCGTTCCTCTTGCCGCAATTCCTCGTGCTGAGCTGTTCACAACACATGCATTCCCCGTGCCAACCCCTTTACGTGTGCCCATCAGGCGGACGACCTAATCCAAGCAGGCAGAGCAGACCAGCTCAAGGACCCCCGATTGGACGCTCCCACAGATTTGATTCTGCGGATGGCACAGCTGGCACTGCGCTGCGCGGCCATGCCGACCGTGTGTCGTCCTGACATGATCCAGGTGGTATCTGTGTCAGAAGTATAGGCAGGATGAGATGAACTATGGAAGAGTTGGGTACAAATATCAAACCCTAGTAGGGGTTGTACCCCATATTGGCTACCCCACTACAGCCTAAACATATATAGCATACATAATGTGACACACCCCCATAGGCAAAGTGGGGGAGAGCAAGGGGTCACAAGACCAGTCAAGAGAGGCAAAGCAAGCTCAGGGTGGATCACAACGTCACCACACACTCTGAGCACAAGCAAAGGGCCACAAGGCCAGTTCGCATGCAGAGATATATATGCAACAACAGCAGTACAGTGATCTCTACCTAGCAGAACAAGCAAGCAGGTATATATATATAGATCACAGTACAAGCAGAGTCTACAGCAAATGAGGAAACGTGGGCACAAGGCCCAGCAAGGTACAAAAGCGCTGATGATCACCAGGCGGAAGTGCCTTGGTGAATATATCAGCAGTGTTGGCCCGAGTGGCCACGTAGGCAAGACGAAGCTGACCACGCTGCTGCAACTCTCGAGCGAGGAAGTAACGCAGAGCTATGTGCTTCCTTCTGTGCTCCAGTCTGTGCTCCTGACACAAGGCAATGGCGGCCTTGTTGTCGACGTACAGCACTGGAGGAGAACGAGGCCGCTCTCCCAGGTCAGTCAGCAGGTAGGTGAGCCAGCGTAACTCCTGTGCAGCCATGGCTGCGGCGTAGATCTCAGCCTCACAACTGGAGCCGAGAACAGAAGACGAGCGTGTAGAACGCCAAGAAACTGAACCAGAGCCAAGGCTGAAGGTGTAACCCTGTGACGACCGCTGAGTAGCCTGGTCGTCAACCCAAGAAGCGTCCGAGTGACCAGTGAGGACAACCTCACTCCGCCCTCGAAGCACGAGCCCCATGCCTGATGTACTGCACAAGTAACGCAGTACCCTCTTCGCAGCATCCATGTGCACCTTTCGGTGCTGACCAGGAGCCATGTAGCGAGCCAGAAGGCCAAGAGGGTACGCGAGGTCAGGACGAGTGCAGGTCATCAGGTACATGAGGCAGCCAACTAGCTCTGGGTAAGGACCACTCGGCTCTACGGACTCGTCCGAAGGTGGAGCTGAGAGCGAGTGACCAGTAGCCAGAGGAGTGGCCTGTGCCGAGGACCAGGTGAAGCCGAAGCGCTGAAGGACCTGCTGCACCATGTGTGACTGAGTCAGGGTGATGGTGCGGCGTGCTCTGTCCCGGGTGATCTGCAAGCCAAGGTAACTGCGCAGCTCACCCAGGTCTGTGCACGTGTGTCTCTTCTGCAGCTCGGACTTCACGTGGGCGAGTCCAGCAGTGTCAGCAGTGGCAAAGACCAAGTCGTCGACGTAGGTGTCGATGTAGAACGGCGGCAGCGAAGTGTCGGTGCGAAGAAACAGCGACGGGTCAGCAGTCGACGGAGTAAACCCAAGAGCCGCTAGTGTCGTCCTCAGTGTGTCGTGCCACTCACGCGGCGCCTGGCGGAGACCGTAGACTGGCCGCCGGAGACTCCACTGGGTACCAGGAGGGAACGACCGAGTGAAGCCAGGCGGGCGGCGCAACCAGATCTCCTCGTGCAGGCTGCCCTGCAAGAAAGCTGTGCTGAAGTCAAGAGAGTGAAGCTCGTAGTCACGCTGAGCAGCAACGTGCAGCAGCACCCAAAGAGTGGTCATCTTCGGGGTGGGGGAGAAGGTCTGGAAGAAGTCAACTCCCTCTCGCTGACTGAAGCCTCGAGCAACGTAACGAGCCTTGAAGACAGGCGGGGAACCTGGCGGCCGCTTCACCCTGAAAATCCACATGCCACTGACGATGTTCGCCCCGGGAGGGGGAACCTCGTCGACGTAGGTGCTTGTGGACTTCCAGGATGCCATCTCTGCATCCATGGCTGTCTGCCACTGAGAGGAGTACTCACCCGCGATCGCCTCAGCGTAAGAGCGCGGGGTCGGGATGTCTGGAGCATCCGGGTCTCCCTCAGGGGCAAGCAGCATGGACACGAGATGAGGCGCAGCGGCTGCAAGACACTCAAGGTCCTCCTGCCTGTCCTCAAGGACGTCCGTGCCAAGAGCACACTCACCCCCGACGGACGGAGGACAGACAGACTCAGACTCAGCAACAAGACTAGCGGCGTAGTCTAGACGACAGGCAGCAGCAAAGTCAACCAGCTCAGCGACCAAGGCAGACGCAGCAGCAGACTCAAACGACGGGTCAGTGACAACAGTGGCTAGCAGACGCGTGACAGTAGAGTGAGCAGCACGGGTGCGGTCAGACTCAGGCTCAGGGACGGTAGGCAGAGAAGACGCAGGAGGGGAAGGCAGAGGAACACGCTGCGGAGGAGAGGAAGGACGACGGACGACAAGGCGGGTGCCGGGGACAGCCGGCTGACGCGAACGAGGGACACTACGTCCGGAACGACCAGACCGGACAGGCGAAACAGGACGCGACGCAGGCTCACGACGCTCAGTAAGACCCCCTGACTGCTCAGTGTAAGGAGAAGGAGCAGGCAGCGGTGAGCTAGGCTGTAACGGAAGACCAGTAACGAAGGGAGACTAAGAACCTGGCGAAGCACAGAGTCAGGCGGTGGCTGAGACGACGGAGCAAAGAACAGGCGCGGCTGGGCAGTGTCACCAGCACCAGCAGCTCCAGTACCTCCACCAGCTCCAGAACCCTCAGCTCCAGCTCCTCCAGGACCAGCTCCACCAGCAGCAGCACACCCAGAACCAGGGTCACCAGCAGTAGTAGCCTCCGGCTCAGCAGCACCTCCAGCCCCAGCAGCTCCAGTACCTCCAGTACGAGCACCTCCGGGACCAGTACCACTCCCAGCTCCAGTGACAGCAGCAGAAGTACCTCCAGCGGCAGAGCCCCGGGCTCCAGAAGCGCGACCCTGACGGCGAGCGTACCACTCACGCAGCTGCTGTGGGGAGAGAGGGGGTCGACGACTAGAGTGCAGCGGCGAGACACCAGCGGAACGACTGCGGAGACGGCCGCTCCAGGGAGACTGCTCACCAGACTCCTCAGTGCCCCCAGGCGCAGCACCCCCAGACCCAGTACCCCCAGGTTCAGCACTCCCAGACTCCTTACACTCAGGCTCAGCACCTCCAGGCTCCGCACCCCCAGGCTCCGCACCCCCAGGCTCCGCACCCCCACGCTCAGCACCCCCAGGCTCAGCACCCCCAGGCTCAGCACCCCGAGGCCCAGCACCCCCAGAAGCAGCACCCCAAGCAGGACCGGAGTCACCAGTGACCTCAACCGGCGTAGGCAAGCGAGGAGGGTCTACCTGAGACACACCTGAAGGAGCAGGACCGGGAGCGGGGAGGGGGTCTACCTGGGTAGCACCTGGAGCGAGGAAGAGCGGCGGGGGGGGGGAGAGGGGCAGTGCGGTAGGGGAAGAGACGGTAAAAGGGAACTGACTCGTCAAACGTGACGTCCCGAGAGGGGAAGACACGGCGCGAGGTGGGGTGGTAAAACTGCCAACCAGGCGCGTTAGGGACAAAGCCAAGGAAGACACAGGGAACAGCGCGAGCGGAGAGCTTGTCCGCGGTGGTATCGCGGACAAAGGCACGAGAACCCCAGACCCGGAAACGCGACGCATCGCCAACCTTCCCCGTCCACAGTAGTGTGGGCGAGGTCTCCGGCAAGGAGACACGGGGCCAGAGGTTGAGCTGATGCGCGGCGTACCGGACCGCAAACGGCCACAGAAAATGGGGGGCTGCCGCATGGACCATGGATGTACGAGCGACCTCCATGACCAAGCCAATGTGGCGCTCAGCAACCTCATTCTGCTGCGGAGAGGCCGGAGGCGTGAACGACTGGGTGATGCCGTGCTCCTCATAGAAGGCTGCCAAGAGGTCGGAGGAAAACTCACCACCTCTCTCAGAGTGCAGACGAAGAACGGGAAACTCCGTCCCGAACCGCTCGCGGAGTTGGAGACGAGCAGTGCGGATCCAAGGGATCAAAACATCAGGGACCTCACCCTTGGTGCGCAAGGGGAAGACCGTGGTGTAACGCGTGTAGTCGTCGATGACCAGCAGGAAGTACCGCTCGTGGCCCTGTCCACGGACGCGGGCTGGGCCCCACACGACCAGGTGGAGAGTCTGCAGGGGAGCCTCTGTGGGAGGGAACGAGGAGGAGTGAGGAGCGGCGCGCTGCCGCTCCTCGACACAGGGAAGACAGGGAGGAGCAGGCGAGGGTGGGAGGGGAGGGAGAACCCTGGGAAGACCAGAGACAAGGACACGGCGGTGCATGCTGCGAAGGCGCTGCACCGAGGGGTGACCAAGGCGGTGGTGCCAAAGGAGGGTCTGATGCGACAAGGCGCGACACGAGCAGGGGGCCGACAACTGACCTGACGCAGACGCAGACGCAGCTACCTGAGGGGACTCAGTGGTCAGGGTGTACAGGCTCGAGCCAGGCTCACGGGTAAACGTGGCCAGGTGTCGGCCCGTCCAAGCACACGTACAGTGAGTCATTCGCTGACTCGCAGGAGTGAACTGGTCAACCCCCCCATCCTGGAGGTCAGCTCCACTCACCAGGTTCGTAGAGAACGAGGGGAGGTAGAGACCTGACAGCAAGCCAGACGGGGCGGCCGGACACGGCAGAACCGTGGAGTAGTGGGCAAGGACTGGACCCCCAGAGGGGTCTGCCAGGGAGACTGCAACTGGCCGACTAAGCGGCGTGAGTGTGGTGCAGTCACGAAAGAAGGAGCGGGAAGCTCATGAGTCAAGGGTGAAGGTGTGCAAGGTCGCAGCAGGCGAAGTACCAGAGAGAGCAGACTCACCAGCACCTGGAGCAGCAGCCTCACCAGCACCTAGAGCAGGAGACGCACTAGCACCTAGAGCAGCAGCCTCACCAGCACCTAGAGCAGCAGGCTCTATACCTGGGTCAGGCGGTACGCACAGCTAACAGGCACGGTCAGCACTAGTAGGCAATGCATACATGGCAGTGAGAATAGCATCATAGTCAAGAGCAAGTATATCTACCCTCTGCCCAAGCAGCTCCACCCAGTCGGGGAGCTCAGCCTCGTCGCCAAACTCGG